CAGGGAGTCAGCGTGGCTCAGCTTCCTCCAGTGCTGCAGAGCCAGCTCCTGCCTGCTTTAAGAATCCCCAGAGAGGTTTATAGCTGTCCTCATTTTGTGATTTGAAGTGGCGTTCTGCTTCAGTAAAACCCCTGCTTGAGGGGGCATAGCTAGAGGTAAAGCCTGAGATCTGCCTATTCTGCCCTGGAGGAAGGGGAGTGTCTTTCCAGGCAGGATATCTGCATCGTGCAGCTGTGACTAACACAGCACTGGTGGACGGCTCCTGTCCCAGTCCTGTGATTGCACTGCATCCAGTACTTGCTCTCCAAGGCACAGGGAAAGCCCCTGTGATGTTTTTCTGGGATAGTGTTTGGAAGTCTCTGCCCTCCATGCTGCTGCCCTCACAGCTGTTCCCTGTTTTTCTGGAGGTCTCTTCTTCATTTGAGTGGGGGGAACCTTCCCCTGAGGGTTGCTGCAAACCATCATTTGCCCCAATGTGGTGCACATGCTACAGACCCCAGCTGTACTGGCAGCACTGGTGCTGTTACGGGCTAATAGTCAAGGAGCACACAGGGTTGGCTACTGGAATATTTGCAGCTCATGGAGATGTTGACTCCCTAGTTCTAAAACCAGGCTAAAACTGGTAAATCCTGGCACAGTTTTTGCTCCCTATATGAACACTACGATACATGGCTGATACTTCACCTGTGGTAGCTGAGCCTAACAAATGGCTGCTGGTCCTTCCCTGGCAGGCAGGCAGCAGCTGGGAACCCTCACGCTCTGCCCTTCTGCCCCACCATGTCTTCCTTGTATTTCAGCATAACCAGAGAGCACACACAGCACTGCGTCTCTCTAAGCAATACCCTTCTCCCTGCTGTGGATGTGGTAGGAGAGCAAAGCAGGGGCACAGCAAGCCTCCGAGCTCTGGGGATGGATGGAGGATGCTGGGAGAGGGCTGCTGGGGAGGGTCAGAGGCCTGGGACCCCATTCCTCCACCTGGAGAGCTGATGTTTAGGTTCCCTGCTGCTGGCAGGGCTGCATGGGATGGGGAGTCAGCAGCTCACCGGGGAAATGCAGGGCTGCTTTCCTGCAGCACAGCAGTACCAGGCCACTCCTGCTCACAGTGGGGCTGCTCAACTTTGCCAGCTGGGCTGAACTCTGCCTTCACCACTCTCAGGCCTGCAGTGCTGCCTGGCCCAGGCAGAACAAGCTGCATCTCTCTCAGTCTCACTAAATGCCAGCTCCAGATCTCTTACCCCTGGCACCTGAGAAATCAGCTTTTCTTTCTGATGCCAGGGTCAGTTACCAGGTGGGATACGGTCTCTTGAGCTGAGCTGGAGCCAGAGGCAGCACCAAGCTGCTCACTGCTATTCCTGCAGAGCAACCTTCCCCTGCAGACCTTAGCTCTTGCCCTGTGCCACTGTTGTAGTTGTTAAATGGAAGCAGATACTGGGGCTTCCTGCTGGCCACACCTTCCTTGAGAGGAAGCACCTCCAAGGTTTCCTTCTCTGGGTAATCATGAATGTTTATTTTCCTGCACCCTCCTTCCCCTGCTAGACTTGGAGGGAGCTGAGGCGCATGAACGGAGCCTTTTGGAGGGTCTCGCCAACGCCACCCTTCCCTCAGCCATTGAGGTACCCGAGGGTCAGGGTGCGAGGCTTCAGAAAGAAATTTCCTACATCAAGATGTTTTTAAATGGTGTATATTTTATATTAATTTTTTTGGGATGTATGTAAAAATATTTGATTTGTATTAAAACTTGTAAATTGTATAAAAAAAGAAAAAGGAAACTCAGACCCACACGCATCCAGTGTATGAACAGCAATAAATGGTTGTCTTGGATAACACCCAGCAAAGCGAGGAGGTAAAAACGTGCATGGCTGCTCAGCCCATAGGGTCTGAGTTACCTCACTCACCTGCTGTGGGGACACAGCCTGAAAGTGACCCAATCCTGGCACCTTTTCACACTTTCTGCTCAGCTTTGGGCAAATCTCAGTCAGCTCTGATTGCCTCTTCCTAGGGAATAACAGTCCTCTTACCTCACGGTCTCCCAAATCCCAGGCACTGCTTTGGTCGTGGCTGTGGCACGGTTTGAAGCTCTCTGGATGAAAGATCAGGGACGAGCTGCAGCAGGCACTGTGAGCACTGCAGAAAAGCAGCATGGCGAGACAAGGCGGCCTGGGCTGCTTTTTTGGAGCAAAGCAGGACCTGGTGTCACGCTGAGCACCGAGGAGGATGGAGCAGGCAGCCAGGGGTGGCTGAGGCTTCAGACGTGCCCAGAGCTGGGCAGTGGGGCACAAGAAGGCAGTGCTGGTCCCCAGTGCTGTCACCATGTGTCATTGCTGTGGTGTAAGACTCACACTGAACACTAACATCGCCAGGATTGACCGGGGGGGATTATCTGAGGAAACCCAGATCCTGAGCAGCCAAGGGCCAGGATAAAGCTGATCCCCAGTGAACTTCAAAGTAGGAGGCGAGCGTGTGCGATTTGACACGAAGGACACAACTAAACAAAACTATCAAAAGGGTAAAATACGCCCCGCTGTTTAATAGAATCTAGTCTTAATGGATGTTAGTGGAAAACAAAACACATGATGAACACAAACAGAGCAGATGGTTTCAAATCTGTTGTCAGTCTGGTGATTACACGGGCTATTTTTTCCCCTCACTGTCTTGCTGCACGGAGCAGGTGCAGCTGGGGTCAGTCAGTCCCAGTCGCAGTGTACATAACTTACACACCATACAGTAGCTTCAAAATAGAGATCTAGAGCTTAAAAAATAGGCATTCTTCTGCAAAATCAAAGGTTTAATTCCCTTATTGACAATGAGAGCAGCGTGGTGCTGCCCTCAGGTGGCTCAGACAGCGACAGCTCCACCCCAGTGTCCTCTTATCCCTGACCCTAGAGTACAAGACTTGCAGTTCTGGTTAGTAAATATATATAATAAATCACATTTAAAATATATACATTGGCCTTTAAAAAAACATTTACAGTTTATCAACATTGGAAAAAAATAACTGGGCTTGCCCCAGGTTGACTTGTGAGAGTAAAAATCAGTTTTAAAAGGTTTCTGCAAACCTTTTGATAAAGTGCCACTGGTTGTAGCTATTTAAAAACAATCAGGTCCACGACGTAGCACTTGCCTGTCAGACACGGTCACTTAAACACACTCAATGTGATGTATAAAGCAGAGCAACCAACTAACCAGGAGAGAAGTTGTCTCAACCGCCTCAAACTGACCTCATATCCCAGCCAACTAAATACAAATTTATTTTTTTTTTCAGGGCTTTTTTGTCTTTGCTTTTCAGTGGAGAAGCCAGGCAGGCACCTCCTGCCTGCCTGACCCAGGGCACAACTGAGCAGAGACCCTCAGGAATGC